CCCAAGCCCCACCCTCCCCTCCTGAGCGTCACTTTCCCACAAGAGGGAATCTGCACTTGAGAGGTAGAAGGTGGATGGCACACCAGGCTCTGACCTCACTTCAAGATTCAGCTTCCCCTTTGGAGCTTCTCTCACGGATCCCTGCTGCCACCACCAGGATGGCCTTCGGGAACCTCGCTCTCCACTTCCAAGGCCCCCGGTCAAGTGTGGCCACCCAACCACCCCTCATTGCCAACAGCACCGTGCACACCAGGCTGTAGGAAAGGCGTTTGAGGAACAACAGGATGGGGTATGAACCGGGATTACTGAACGGCAAAGGTGTTCCTCAGCGCAAGCCTGGAATCCTCTTACTGGCACCCCCCTGAGTCCAGGGTTCACTTTAACTCCGGCTACCAGGGATCACTCTTTGGGTCACTTGGATGCTGTGAAGTCTCAAACTAAAGAAGTGAGGTTGCTGCCCTAACCGGTTTGGCTCAGTGGATAGAGCACTGGCCTGCGGACTGAAGGGTCCCAGGTTCAATTCCGGTCAAGGGCATGTACCTTGGTTGCGGGCACATCCCCAGTAGGAGGTGTGCAGGAGGCAGCCGATCGATGTTTCTCTCTCATTGATGTTTCTAACTCTCTATCCCTCTCCCTTCCTCTCTGTAAAAAATCAATAATATATATATTCTTTTATATATAAAAGAAGTGAGGTTGGGAAAAGCAGGAGTGGCCTATCTGCCTAAGCCACTTTCCCAAGTGATTGAAACTGGAGTGGCCATTGATTAATTCAAAAATACCGGGTGGGGCAAAAGTAGGTTTACAGTTGTTCATATGGAAAAATGTAATAATTAATAAATAACACAAGAATGAACTGTGTTTCACGTACTCACAACTGCAAACCTACTTTGCCCCACCCTGTATTATTAAGTACCTACTATGCTAGGGGATAAAATAATACCAACAACAAATGGGCCTGGCACCCTCCCCTCAAACTCTATGGCCTATAACCATGGCCTTAACCCAAACTCCATGGCCTATAACCATCATTTCATTGCAATTAAAACAAAACAAAATAACCCTGCCCTGGCTGGGTGGCTTGTGATGGGCTAATATGATTACTACAGGGAAAAATAACAATTATGGCAGTTGCCATTTTTTACTGTCTATTATGTGCCAGATATTTTAAAACTTGTATCTAATTTTAATACATTATCTCATATAACCTTCACAACAACCCCATGAGATACTTTTCTTGTCCTAGATTTTACAGATGAAGAAATTATAGTTAAGATACTTGCCCAAGTTATTTAACCTTCCCAAGGCTCCCTTCCCTTGTTTGTAGGTTAGGGGCAATGGTGTCTCACGTCCCTGGCTGTTGTGAGGTTTGTGAACAGTGTGTGGAGGACCATCCGCATTGCATACAGGCAGAGGCAGAGTTGCTGTCTCCAACCTGTGGCTCGATCAGAGACCTGCCCAGGGCCTGCAGCCTCTGACCTTCTCACTTAGCACGAAGCAGCTTCACCTGCTACCAAGTTCTCTGTTTACCTCCCAAGGGAATCTGTGCTCTCATTTCTGATTCTATTCCTAGTTGATGATAACAAAACCTATGTTTAGGATAACTCTGGGTCTTGGAAGGAAAATGCTCTGAAGGTCGGGGGTACTGGAAAGTAATCTCCAGCCAGAGCTGGGCTCCCAAGGAAGAGAAACCGTTTCTCGTGGATGAAATAGAAGGGGAAGATCTTTGGTTTGAGGCCACCCAGTGCAGCTGTGAGACAGTTACTATAGGATGATCGCCAGTCTCTCACCAGCTGCTGAACACCCCCCAAGGTGCAAGGACTTAGGCACTAACTTTGCCTCATCGATCTACAAGGTCTTACCCTCAGTCTGTCTCTTAGCTGCCATAGGACAAAGATAGAGGTTTGGAATCATATCAGGTTTCATCGCTTACAGGTGTGTGACATTGGGAACATGGCATGTAACCTTGTTGAGTCTCAACTTTCCTCTCTCTAAAATGAGCTGTTGAATTCAATAACAGTACATATAACTCGCAAGTAGGTACTTTTTAAATGTTACTCCCCTTGCCAGGCTGGAGTGGCTCAGTGGATTGAACATCGTCCCATGGACCAAGAGGTCCCGGGTCTGATTCCTGGTCAGGACACATGCCCGAGTTACAAGCTTGATCCCGTGTTGGGTGTGCAGGAGGCAGCCGATCAATGTGTGTCTCTCACCGATGTTTCTATCTCTCTCCCTCTCCCTTCCTCTCTGAAATCAATAAAAATATATTTTAAAAAATAAATAAATAAAATGTTACTCCCCCTGCAGTCTTCTTTCCTATACTCTGCTATGTATGTGTGGCTGTATGGTGGGCACAGAGAACAGATGACTCAGACCAAGTCCCTTCAGACTTGGGAAAATTCCCTTCCTTTGTACCCAGGCTGGGTCGTTCCTCACAGTAAGGGAGTAAAAGGTATGGGGCAAAGTCAGAAGACCGCGCAAGATCATAAGGCCTGCAGTTTGCTAAGGACATGATGGAGGTGAGGCGAAGTGGCTTTCCAGACGTGGACTGCCCTCCTCAGGGGCTCTGCCTTCCTGCTCTCCTTTCTATCCATCATCCTAAATTTTCAGCATTCAACTGTCAAATGTTGCCAATGCTGATGGATAATGAATGGAGTTGAATGGGTGAAAGGTAATTTATCTGCTATCTACATTACACTGCACTGTTTCCTAAACCCTTTTGAGAACTCACCAGCTCATCAAATCCACACCACTCCCTGTTGAGGGGCAGGGCAAGGATCATGCTCCTGCGATAGCTGAATAAATGGGCTCCCAGAAAGGGCCAGTCACTGGCACCAAGTCGCCCATCATACCGGTGGCAAGCTCTAGGACAGTGATGGCGAACCTTTTGAGCTCGGCGTGTCAGCATTTTGAAAAACCCTAACTTAACCCTGGTGCCGTGTCACATACAGAAATTTTTTGATATTTGCAACCAT